AAAAAAAAAAAAAAAAAAAAAAAAAAAAAAAAAAAAAAAAAAAAAAAAAAAAAAAAAAAAAAAAAAAAAAACAACAACAAAACCTCAACAAACCCACTCTGCTATTTTACTCTCTCTCCTCCCCACCCTAAACATTCCAGCCTTCCCTGCCACTAGAGAGGGGAGTTGTTTATTGATATTATGCAAGTACTGAAATATTTTTATTTTTCTTCTCTGCTGTCCATTTTCCCCGCTCTCTCCCTCTCTTCTCCGGGGGTTGCAAAGGTAGTTCAAACCCCTCCAGTCATCTCGGCTTATCAGCCACAGGAGATACATTCCTCTGGGCTGCTCCCTTTATAAGTCACTGCTGGCCGGGCGCCCGCCCGCCGCTCCGCAGCCTCCGCGCCGGCAGCGCTGCCCGCTCCGCGCTGCCCCGCCATGCCCTAGCCCGGGCCCGCTCACCCGCCCGCCGGGGGCCGCGCAGCAGCTCGGGGAGGGTCGGCAGCGATGGCACCCCCGCCCCCGCGCCCCGCCCGCCCCTGAGGGCGGCTGCTGCCGCCGGGATGTTCAGCTGGCATCGGAGCTTCACCCTGGGAGCGCCCTGGAGGAGAGGTGAGTCGGCCGCCCCGCCGGGGCCAGCCGGCGGCTGCCAACACCTCCCCAAACCCGCACCCCCGCCACCCCCTTCCTTCCCCTCGGTGGCCCCGCAGACGATACTTAGGACAAGCCCATCCCGGCCCGCCCTGCTCCCGGGCCCCGCCGGACGGGCAGCGCGCCGCTGCCGGCCCGGCCCCATGCTGCGCTCGCTGCTCTCCGGCTGCCTCTGTCCCCTCGCAGGTAAGGCTGCCCGAGGCGCGGCCCCCCTCCTGCCCCTGCCCCGGGGCCGGCGGGGACCAAGATCGCGCTTAAGGAACCGGCTTCATTTCCTCATAAAACGGGCTTATTTCGCCTTGGTAAGCGTGGCAAAGCTCCGGAGAGAGGAGCAGGGCAGGCGGGAGCACTGTGGCTGCGAGCGGTCCGCGCTGCCGGGGGAGCGGCACCCACCGGAGCGGCTGCTGCCGGCACCGGAGCGGCTGCTGCCGGCACCTCCGTGAGGCGGGTGGGCTGCCCTCCGCCCGTCACTGCGGGGCCACGGACATCGGCTCGCTTCCTAGGCTAGCGTATCCCCGTCCAACACGGCTTGTCGCGGGTTCGAAGTGTTGTACTTGCTCCCGCCTGTGCAGGTGAGGTGACCCTGGCAAGAAAGGCAGCTATAGTCCTTCAGCTGATCACCTGTAACTTTTTAAGCCTGTTGTGCAAACAAATTATGTGGTCGCAGTATGCCTTTTCCAGGCATAATGGGCCCCTATATTTTATGCCTTAGCCAGAGTTGCAGGCGTCGAGATCACAAGCCCCATGTAGCAGAATTCTCTTGGCATCCCTGTTCACCCCTCAGCTTGGCTTGTAGCAGCTGTAAACAAGATCGGCAAGTTCTGTGTCATTGGCAAGGCTGCACTGGGCTGGCTTGCTTGGCACGGAGGTGGCTAGAGAGTTTGTCAGAGCGTAAATGTAGTGTGCAGTGCAACAGCAGGGCGGTAAAAATGATGCAAACCCATGTGTTTGGAGTGGTGATACCTCCTGGGGTCCTGACTTTCCATCCTTATGCCAAACTCATGTTTCCTTGGAGTGCTGCAGCAATGGAGCACTCCCATGGAGTCATCAGAGCTGACACATTCTTGGGCATCCTCTCAGGTACTGTCTGCTTGGATTGTGCTTCCCAGCTGTCCCAGTCTGGGGCAGCTACTTAGAGCTCCGTGTGAGCTGGAGCCTCTGTGAGGTGCCGCAGCAGGTAAGCGTTAAGTGCTGCTGCCAGCAAGGCTGCTGAAGCAGGTTACTCTGCCTGGATTCAGTCTGGAAACTGCTACCCAATGACACAAAGGGCTCTAGAGCACTGCTGCTGTGAGAACATGCCAGCATCTCTGTAAGATGGGGAGGGTGTTTGAGGAGTGTTTTACAGTATGGTGGGAACTGCTCCTTTTTGCCCTGGATGTAATTTGACCATGAACTTGTTTCCTCCAAGATATATAGTGCAAACCTGATGGCAGGGTTAGGAGATGAAAGGAAGCTTGCTCTTCCACATGGAAGTGTCCCTCACCATCCAGACACAGCAGTATTGTTAATAGGGTAGGTGAAAGCTTTGGTGTGGGAACAGAGTTTCCTACAGAGCACTGAGGGATCAAAAAGAGGTTCAGCTAGAATTTATCCAAATAAGAAACAGCAACATCACTCTCTAATCACTTCAGCTAGGAAAAAGACACCAAATATTATGTGTGTCCAGATTTGGATGCCATCTGTATTCAGAAATAGCATTCTTGGCTCTTGCTCTCACTGCAACTATAAAAGATTTCAGACATGCCAGAGTATGGTTACGCCTGTCCAGTGCTACCTTGTTTGAGCAGAAGCAGCTCGCCAGGGTTTTATCAAGGGACAGAAATGACTGCTCATGAAGAATGGCTTAACAGCGACCTTTCTAATACCATTCTCGAGTTCCTTTGGCTTCATTTGAAGCACTGGTGTCTAAATGGCCTTGGTCTTTGGGGCTATTGAACAGTTGTTTATCCAAGCTAATTATAGGCAATAAAACCTGAATTACTACATACCTGTCATCCCTGGGGGGCACGTTCCATGCTTGCAAAGGGCCTCCAGGCTCCTAGTTAATTTCTGGCTGAATAGTCCATGGGCAGACTGCAGATCAGATGTACAAGGAAAAGATCTAAATTAGACAGTTTTGCCAATGTGTGATATATTTGTTTCTATTGTTTTAATTTTCTGCTCAGGCATATCACTGAGTTGTGTGCTAAATAATCTTTTGCTGTTATACAGGGCTGCTCATCAAAGCACTGTTTCCTTTATTTAAGGTTTTGAACCTTTCTCTTGGAGGAATACGTGGGAATTTCCAAGGACAAGGATTTGTAGGTCTTTAGTGGCAGCTGTCATCTCCCCATCTCCCTGACAAAAAATTCACAAATAAGACCTATAGGTGATTATGGGGGCTGAACTTCTTACCTTCCCCAGCCCTCAGGACTGGTTACATTGCAGAGCAGGGAGTACTTGGGCACTAATCCTTGTGCACCAAAATTATCCCTGGCCAGGTTTTCCCCCCGGGTCATAGATACAAAGAAATAAGTTGCAGTGTAAATGCAGAAACGAGTGGGAACAGTGCTTTAGCTGGTGCAATGAACAGGGTCAGGTGTTGATCTAAAAACTGGTGACTGCCAGCCTACACAAGTAACTGATAAACCAGGTGGTCTGAGGGGACCTGCCGAGCCCCGGGACTTTCTGCCAGAGGTCACTAATCTATCAGACCTGTCGTTTGGTTTCAAAAACTTCACAGGTCACTTGGAATGAATAGGAGCAAGCTGTAAAAGTGTCAAGTGGCCTCTCTACTTGGAAATCCATTTCCTCTTTAGTTCACCCAACTATATCACTCAGTAAACAATCAATCAATCTCCCTCTCATTCCTCCTCAAATGCTTGAAAAGAGCTGTAATTAGCTCCTCTTTTCTAAAACATAGATACTAAAGCAATGAATGTCTCCTCAGAGAGTCTCAGTCAGAGTCCTTGAACCCTGTTATCTTTCTCTCGGCATCTACTTTATATGGATTTATCATTACCAGCTGCACCTGTGGGGACCTATAACATTTCTGGTCACTTTTTATTACCAAACTACGATCCTAAGGAACTTCACACACTTAACTAACATTGAGACTAGAGACCACCTTGGAGCCAAAGGATCTAAGTACTTTGTGCTTTTTGTTCAAGGACTATCTAAAATCTCAGCTTTTCATAATTATTCCTATGCATTCAACATTTTGAGCAAATCAAATTGTATATGTATGCTCATGAAATCCACGTGCATTTCACTTCTCCAGCTGGATAAATTAAAGTTTAGAGAATCAGATCTATTGTGCAAATACTGTTACGACATGGCAGCATGTTCCCCTGCAAATGTGATTTTTTCAGACACAACTCCAGTAAAAAAAACCCCAAAACAACAAGCAAACGAAATAAAATAAAACAACAAAAAACCTGATCTTTCTTCTAACAGTGATTTTCATGCCTTCACAAGTTTCAGCTGTTGTAGGTAGAAGATGTAACTGGTGCACTGAAGACAACAGACCCTGTGATAAGCTTTCTGTATAATTTTTTCAGTTTGTGATTATCCTAATTATTTAGGAGAAGCTTTGCTCAGATTGGGCAGCCCAAGATCTGGCAGCACACTCAGCATACTTCTTGAAAAGATTGGGGAAGGCAGATAGAGTGCAGACTTTTGGTGACAAGTAGCACCTCTGCCATTGCCAGGACTATGATCAACAGTCCAGTAAAGCGCCAGGTAGGGATCAGGAGATCCCCACCCTGTGGAAATCCATGGCAAAGCTGTGTGGAGGTAGATTTGGCTCACGGAGGGTCAGATGGTGGTGGTTACTGATTTTTTGGGGTGGGGACTTTGTTTGTTGGGTTGGTTTGGGGTTTTTGGAAGTGTAAGAGTAATTCAATTCTCATGAGCACTGAGGTCCTGTCCGTGCAGGCCTGCCTGAGCCCACAGGGCTGTGCTGGGGACAGCTCTTCCCCAGCCCGGGAGGTGACACGGCTGCCGCGGGCCCTGCGCGGGGGCTGCTGAGGAGGTGCCAGCACGGCCCCAGCGCCTGACCCCACCCTTCAGCACACATGGAGGAAAAGTCATCAGCAAAAAATGCCTATTGTTTCAGAAAGGAAGTGACCCCTTCTCTCTTAAATGCTGGGAAATTGAGACCTCATCATTGGTGAGAAAAAAAAAAAAAACACCTCTTCGAAATGAAAGGGAAATACCACCTGAGCCGTCCTGCCAGCGGTGCTAGAGAATGTGGCACAGTGACAAAACTAAGGGAGTCTTTTTGTACGGGAAGGAAGGAAAATGAGGGAATGCAAGGACTGAATGGGAGAGGCAGCCTTTCGTTTCTAGGTCATGAGTCTGACTCCAGTGCACTAGTCACTGCTATCTAGTGATTCTTCAAAAGGCGACAATCATCTCTTAGTCTGTTACTTGGAGGCCACAGCCCCATCGCGGAACCAGTCCTGTATGGCAGGGTTTCATCCTTGGTGCAGCTGGAGCCAGAGAGGAGTTGCTAGGCAGGCTGTGTCCTCTATAGGATGCTGAAAAACCTTTTCTGGCACTTTGCATGTGCACCTTCCTCCTGTATTCAGGGCTAAGCAGAATGTTAGGAGTGCTGTGGTTTGACTTTGGTCTTCCTTTGCAGGGCAGCTGTGCAAAGTCCCTGCTACTCCAACAGCCCAAGTCGTTGGTGATATCCTTAAGTTTTGTGGCACAGTAAAATTTGGAAAGTACTGGCCTTATGAACTGCAGCGTGTATGATGTTCCATATCTTGTGGCATGTGTGGCACACAGTAGCAGGAAGAGGAAGAGATTCTCTGAGCATCTCTGGGCTGTTCATCCTGTACAAGTCTGCCAGCATCACCCACTGTGGATGGGTTCACTGTGCACATGGACCTTGCAGCAGTTCTAGAGACAAGCAGAAGGCTGCCATGGCTCTACCTCTGCTATCCTTTGTAAGACAGTGGTGGATGGAGACAAGCAAAGCTTTGGCTCCAGTTGTGCCATGTTTAACAGAGATTCTCCCCATGCCAAGTAGCCTAAAAATCAGGATGAGCATTTTGAGACAACAGGTGGGCAGAGACTGGGAAGGAAGAGAGCAGCAAAGGGCAGTGCTGGCATGGCTCTCTACTGCCAGCAGCAGCACTCATTCCATTGTCACCTTGGCCTCTTCCTGTCCACTAGTGCTTCCATTAGTTGCATACATCAGAAAACCATGTGCTATGATACTTAAGTCAGTGGATCAGAGGCCATGGACCCTCTCGGGGATGTAGCAGACTTAACAGGTCTTGCACTGAAGGAATTGCCAGTGAAACACAACTTTGAGTCACAGGCATAGATGCAAGAAAGAAAAAAATCAGACATGGGTTTCAGTACTTTGGAGCATGGGGATTTGGATATAGGCTTTGGCTTGGTTTACTAGAAAGGTGGGAGCTTTTGCAAGAATTGGGCTTGAGCAGGATTGGAAATGTGAAGGAGTTTTTCCTGGGCAGTTGTTTGAGTTCATCTCGTGCATCCAACTTACTTGGGATAAAGAAATTGCTTAAAAGTAATTTTATATTGACGTATCTGCCCTCCTTCTCGTGGTCAGGGATCTCTGTACTAATACACTAGGCTGAGTCCTGGCAGCCGCTAGTTATTGTGCAACTGGAAAAATAACTTAGACTTAAAAGTCCCAAGAAAGTGAAGCCTTGGGACAGAAGATGGTTGGGAGGATATTTACCTTTGAAAGATTTAAGTTTCTCTATTAGGCTATGCTAATTGCAACATAGAAATATCCTAAAAAGCAATTCAAACATGATGCAGAGCAAAGTTCTAGAGACCTAGGTGGGACACATCTGCTCCTTCCACTCCCTACCAATTACCCTCAGGTATTAGCTAGTTCACTGTCACAATCTCCCTGTGAGTTGGGAAGCCGTCTGATTCTCCAGCTTTACAGGCACAGGAAACCCAGCTTCCCAAGGCTACACATGATCACTTACCACCAGTCACCGGCGTATATTTCAATCCAGGGAACCCTGTACACCTCTAGGGTGATTACACAGCCATAAAACTCTTTGAAACCCTGAGACAATGTTTGGCCTGGGCACACATGTTGAATATGCTTCAGGAACCCGTACTGATTCTGAAGCACGCACATGAAACTCCACTCCTTCCCTGGCTGCCACACCAGCGTACCAGCCAGCTTCCTAAAAACTACAGCATTTGCTAACTTACCCCCACTAGAGAGGGGTGTGGAAAACCGGTCCAGGGGACAAGAAACAAACAACAACAACAACAAAAATCTTGGCTGAATTCCCAGGAACAGTGTCAAACCTGGCTGGCCTCCAGCACAAGTAAATACATTTTACCATTGTTAATGCCACGGTTCAGCTCTCTAGAGTTCTTCACACCTCCTTTCAGAAGCTGCTGTGTAGGATTTTTTGCAGCCATACCCCTGCAGCACACTCCCTCCAGTGCCAGGCAGGAGTTATCTCCCTTCCTTGCTTTACTCAGGGCCCCTGGTATTGCCGAACAAAACACTTACAGGCCAAGTCCTCAGCCAAAATTAGCTGACACAATTCTCAATTCTGTTAAGGGCCCTGGAAATTAGTTAATTTATAGCAGCTGAGGGTCTGGGTAGCTTTTTTTTTTTTTTTTTTTTTCCCCTTCTTCCCTCAATTACGCAAATGAGCTTTAGTTGCACCATTCTGGTGTTTGTTAGCAAAATACTTGAAGGAGCTGAGTGTTTTTGTATGCCTCTTTCAAGATCTGTAGCAGGAACAATCTGCTTCTTAGAAGCGCGATGGTTTAGATTCTATATTCCAGTTAACAGAAAGGAAGAAACAACTGTTCTGCCAGTGAGGTGCAGTAAGAATAACTTGAGTTTCAGGTCACTGCCTTAATCATTGGAGATCTTTTTGCTGTAGCACAGATGACCTCACTGACCATGGGAATGTATTATTAAGTGAATGAGGATGAGGTGCCTAAGTGTGTTGCAAAGTCCTGTTTTCCTTTGCCAGTATTCTGGTCTTGTGGTAGGGGGATGATAACATTTTGCCTCATCACAGGCCGTTGGAAGAATAAATCAGAAATGGTCTGTGGTTTGCAGGACCTGACAGTGCTGAGTGCAATGGTTTGCAGCCTGGAACAGATAAACAATTTTTGTAAAACATGTTGCTAGTGACCACAGTAAGGGGAGAGAGAGCAAAGAACTGTTGTTGGCATCAAGGCAGCCATCCCACAGACGGCCAAAGATTTCATCTTATTTTCTATTCTTTCTACTCCAGCCAAACCTTGTTCACATTGCAGCTTTTGTAGTCCTAAAAGATATGCAGTAAAGCATCTGACATCTCCTCCTGTAAGTAGCAAGACCTCATTTTAATATGCTGCTTCCTGATTTTAGACAAAGCAATATTTGTGTAGGCCAGGGTGAAACCAGTTAAGCAAGAAAAAACAGGGGCAGATTGAAAGAAGTGAGAGAATCTCCAGTCAAAGGAAAGCATGGCATGATTAATAAGAGAGAACAATCAGTCTGTGGGAAAGAACTACCGTTGCATATAGTAATTCCTGGTAAGAGTGACAGCTGTATGGTTTGTTCTTAAAAGTAACTGCAGGAATGCAACTGCTCTCCTCCTGACTCTTGGTGGTTTTGTTGGCCAGCTGGGGTAGTGGTGCCATCAGAAGAGCCTGTAAGCCTTGTATTTTTCATGCAGATACAACATTTTGTGTCTGGCTGCCAAGAGGTGTTTGCAGCTGAGCAGGTAGATCCTCTTGACTCCAAATCAAAGTGACTCAGTTCCACCTCCTCCTTCCAAGACCTGGCACCCAGCTCCCTCTTTGAGCTGATGTTTTGCTGTATGTGAAGCTGCAAACTTGTCACCCTATTCCTTGTCCTCAGGTCAGGGTCCCTCATACATATCCCAAAAGTGAGAGTAACAAGAGAGCCTAGTACAGGCAGCTCCTGATGAGCTTTCCTGGGTAATGTCTTTTTCTTGTCCCCCATCACAGCAACATCCTGGTGTTGTATTGCTGAGGTCTGGCACTGACTGTTCCAAACATGGCTCTTTGCACTGGGAAGATGCCTGTGAATCCTGCTAAGGGAGGCAGTGAAATTCTGTATATGATAAACAAATCTTATGTAAGGGGTATCAGCACTCCGTACCACAAGAAGCCTATCAGATTATTTATCACTGACTGCCCTTTATAAAAATCCAGTGTAAAATATTAAATCAGTGGGTGTCTATGAACAGCAAAGGGCATATTTCAGTGGTATGCCAGGAAATTCTCAAGATCAAATGAAGGGGATTCAAATAAAGTAGAAAATGATCCATGTAAGAGTTAGCTTGGACTTAATGAGTAAAATTCTCCCTTATCTAAGTACTTTGCAGAAAGCAAGCTGGAGGAGGTAAAGATGGGTTATTTCTGAAACAGGGAGCTTCTGGGTTACCACAAAGGAGAACTGCACAGCAGAGCTCTCCCTGATCCACTCACTGCTGGTGGGGTGGATCCCAGGCTTTCCTGCCCACCTAGGGACATTTACTTTACTGGGGGTGAGTTTGTGAAGCTGCTGCTGGGTCTGATTCAGGCAAAAAAGAAAGAGGAGAGGGGAATGAAGTAGAAAGTAAGACATCCAGAAAAGTGTATGCTCTGTAGCCCTCTTAGGCACTCTGGGTTGGGCACTAAGGGAAAATATATCAGGGAAAGTGAAGTTTTGTTCTGCATCAATTCTTGGTTCCAAATCCACAGACTTACGTATTTGGAACTGAGATTTGCAGTTTGCTAAAAGGTAGATGCAGAACTTTCACACTGGCTCTCATATCATTGTGTTCCAAGTGTTTGCGCTATGAAATATTATATTCAGAAAAACAGTAAGAAAAACCTGGGAGCAGATCTTTGACCCCTGCAGATCAGCCTTTCATCCAGAGATTGTTCTATCACATTACTGTGTAAAATAATTGTGACTTGAAAACAAGTTTTCTTTGTCTGTGTGCAAAAGCTCTTTAGCAAGGCTGTGCCCATCTCTTTTGTCTTCACAAATAAGGTAGGAGCTCACTTAAAGACATCATAACTAAAACCATAGAGGGAGTGAGAAAGATCTACAGTGCTTTTTACACTTGCTTTTCTAATCAGAACTTGATTTTTGTCACATATATGTGAGCAGAGAATACCAAAGAATTTTCAAATTGCTTGTTGCAACCAAAAATTCACTTAAGCCTGTGGGAAGAGTAATTTCATTTTACTCTTCTTTCTGCTGGTTCAGAATACATTTATTTGGAAAAAGATATTTGAGCCTTAAATTAATGTCTATCGGGCTGAAAGAACATGTACATCTCTCCATCTCTATGCAGATAATTACAAAAAAGTTGCCTGCCTACATATGTTGTTTTCTACCTATCTATTAAATCAGAATTGTGCTTTTGTGAGCTCCCCTGGAGGACTCTGAGGCTATGAAACACAAGCCTTTTGTTGCAGCAAAACCCACAAGAAAGCATCATATAACTCAAGAAAAACAAATTAGGGCCGTTCCGCTCTACCACCTTGGTATAGGCAGTTTTACATTCCACATCCCTCACGGGATGCATTAGACACTGAGTTTTGTAGCCTCCTGTGACCTTCTACTTGTTTCTTTTCAGCAGGTAAGAAGAGCCCACCTGCTGAGGACAAGGTTGTGTTAACACACATGAAGATACTGAGCAATGAAGGAATTCAAAACCCAGGGTTAATCCCAGAGGCTCCAGCTGACACAGCCTGCACAGAGGAGTCCCATCTTCCTGGTGCCAGTGTCCCACCAGACTGCTTGGGAAGTCCAGATGCCGCAGCCGCAGCAGCAGATCCAGATTGTGTGGATGGCCCGGCAAGCACTGACTACGTAGCCACCTTGCCTGACCTCAGCACCTTCGAGTCCAAGTGCCGGCTTCACAGATTCTCCAAATTCGAATCTGAGGACTCAGGGGTTGAGTTGCCAAGCGGTGCTAATTCTCCATCTACACCCACGGGCTCAGAGAAGAGCTTTGTGCTTCACAGCAGAGACTCATTTTGTGACTCGGGTGTGCTTAGCACCTCTTCTTCTCCAGAAATTGACCATCAGTTAATGAGAACATGTAAAGAACATGCCAGAAAAGTTAGCCTACAAGATCCAGAGAGCAAAAAGCAAGCTGATTACTATAGTCAGGAGGCAGATGCTGTGCAGGATCCTACAGCTTCCCTTGAAGACTTCAATGACCCTCAGGAAGAAAGTCCTGATGATCATTTTCACCAGGATGACAAGCAGTCTCCAGAAAAGGAACCTACCGCAGAGATGGACCTTTCCAGGGAAAGCACTCTTTCCACCCCAGGTCCCATAGAAGACCCAAAGACCATTGCTGACAATTTTCCAGAGAATTTTGGCAGCATGCAAGACCTTCAGATCCATGAACACCAGCTGAAGAAATACCCCACAAGTGATAGTCTGGATGAGTACATGGATGAATGCTGTAGACTGAGTGAGGTGAGAAACACCTGAACATAGATCATAAATTTATGCCTGTCCAAACACCCCAGTTCATGTCCTGTTTGTCACAAATTAGACATATCTGAGTGAGTTTAGAATATCTCCCCTGAAACTTGTAAGCAGTAAAAAATGGTAATTGATTTTTAAGGTTTCTTTTCATACCAGTAAAATTCTGAAATAATTCGTAAATATCAGGTCTGGGAAAGGATGAAAAATGACTCATTGAGATCTAGTGTTTCTAAAAGCTCTAGGTGAGAGGATAGACTTGATTCTGGTCTCAAAAATGAAGGTTATGAAGTTAAGTAATCATTCTCTGATACACGGGGTGGGGGTCAGAACAGGTTTATTTTCAAGACCAGGTTATTCCTCTCTCTGGGAATAGCTGGCTTGCTTTTGGGACACTGAAATTTGTAAAGAACTTGTCTAAGGGTTAATTCATTTCTGTCCAGGCCTATTGTGCCCTGTTCAGTCAATTGTCTCAAATAATGCACAAGCAGGGAGCTAATTCACAAATTCAGATTTTTGTCGGGCTGGAGCTGGAGATGCTGTTTTAACTTGCCAATGTAGCTGTGATGGACCAAACTGCAAAGACCTAATTTCAGCAGGTTGTGTCACTCCTTATCCCCTTGCTGGGTACCATGTGCCACTGGCAAGAGAATAAAAAGCCCTTCTGTGCACCTTCTCCCATAGCAGGTGCTGTTAAGAGCTCCCCCCAGTTCTTTGCCTGAAGCCTCATGCTGCTGAAGTGAGGACAGATCACTGCCTTGCCTGCACAATGCAGTGGGTTCTGGGAACCAGCAAAGCAAAGATCTCAGTGGGGAGCTGATTCTTGACAGAGAGACAGACCAAAGAGCCCCATGAGCAAAGGGAAAGAAAAAGGAGAACGGCAGACTAGGTGAAGAGGATCACAAACACACAAAAGCATCAAATGGTGCCTAGCGGGGATTTTTTTTGGGGGGTGCTTATTGTGGTAATAGTGATGAATTGGAATTGGAGATGGGTGGGAGGAAGCCAAGTAACAAGTGATGTGTGCTGTGCAAATAATTTAACCACGACCTTGCTGCCCTGAACAATCGGGCATTGGACTTCCTTTCCAGCATGCCAAATCCTCTTGAGCAGTGAGGAAGGTCAGAGATGTCTTATCTCTGTTAACATTGCATATCAAGGCAGTACAAGCAACACACAACCTATCTGAGCAGTGTTTTCCTCCCCAGAGCTATCTCACACATGGCAGAAGACAGATGTCTAATTTGCACAGATCCCAAACAGATCTGGCCATTTGACAGAGAGTCCAAGAAAGGATGACAGCAGCAGAATCTGACCATAAGGAGACTTCATAAAAAGTTGCCTAAATTCTCTCTTGCACTCTGCAGAGTTTGCACTCAGATTTGGTCTTGTCTGACAGCTCCTGTATGCCTGTGAAATTCCTTTAAATCCTTAGTGAAATGGATCCTCAGTTTACCAAAGCAGAGCATTTAAATAAACAAGAGAATAAATTAGAAGCTGAAGAGGAAATTAAGCTCTTGGTGGCTTATCTCCCCTCCTTTTTAATATCCTCACTGGCTGAGTGCTTAAGCCCTGTGCCCTAGAGCACTTTTCTTTGTTTTCTGAGCTGTGTAAATACAGCTGTGACCTAGATGCTGGGGAAGTTTGCCCCTCTTCACAGCACACCCCCAGGCTGATGTATCTCAAGAGCAGCACTCCTCAAACTGCTGGGATGCCAGGTAGCACCGAAGTTGACTGGGACAAGAAATGCCCATGAGCTGCTGCACAGCTCTGCAGCAGCTGCTGCTCTGTGTGCCTCAGAGCAGCAGGACAGCCTCTGGCAGATGCAGAGTCCTCTGCCCTCACGAAGCTTATAGCAGGCTGACCTGTCCTCACTGTCCTACAACAGAGACCTGTTCAGAAGTGAGGCCCAGATGATCATTTGACCATACAGCTGACAGATGCATCTCGGTTCATCCCATCTGAGGCTCTACTCCAGGCTTTCTCTGTGGTTTTCACATTTGCCTGTAACCTGTCCAAGACACAAATGGTACTTAGAAACCAATCTCTGCTATGGCCTGTTGTCTTCTGAGGGACTAAGATATCCCTAGAAATGAATCACTGTTGCCTGAAAGAAAGCAGGCCAGCACAGTGTATTCCTACCCTGCTTGGCAAGGACATGGCAAACCAAATTGCTCCATCAAATAAATTCCTGCTGCATTAAATTAATGTTTATAGAAATGAAAAAGTGCTTACACTGGCTTATAGCTAATGCTCAGTGAGAGCATTATTTAGTTATAGGTGACACCATCTTCCTCAGTTCTACTGATGGTTTTGGGAACTTTCAAGTAACAGAAGAGCAGTTGAGTTTCCCCAGCTCAGCTGACTGGCAGTGCCAACTGTGCTTACTGGCTCACCACAGCCAAACAAGGACTCAGTCTCTGGATGAAGTTGTCCCTTGATGTCCTCCTGACCATCCCTCACTGCTGAGGCCATTTCCAAGAGAACAGGAAGGAAAATGCTGAAAAAGAGAGACTGGAAATGACCAAATGTTTTGACCACTTGGATTCAGTTGGTGAATGGCTTTGGCTGAAAATGTACATCAAATCATTTCAGTGCAGCATTTTTAGACAAATCTTTCTGATCTTTTGTTTTGAACTGTTGTTATTTTGAAATTGGCCTACATTTTGAAAGATGAAAGAAAATGGAAGCTGTCAAACAACAAGAGAAACAACTTTGAAGCCTAAATAAAAGCATTTCCTTTTAAGCTTGAAGTTTGAAGATACATAGCTTTTGATGCTTTTGCTTTACAAACACTTCCTCACACTCTATAAAGTTTACATTTTAAGTCAGCCCAGCCCATACTGCTAGAAGAAAAAGGACGGGAGCACTGTCATCATTAAGTGAAAAAAAAAAATCATTATTCATGCAGTGCTATTTGTCCTGGGCCAAAGCAGTCAAAATGTTTCTCTACAGAGTGGTACAGTTCAGGGGAAGGATAGGGATACCTGTGATGGTCAGGCCCCTCGTCTGTGCGTGCCACTCAGGGGAAACCAGAAGCTATCAGCAAGCACAGCCCCTCCTGGACAGCAGGGTGGAGCCGTCAGAAATACACAGCACGATCCCTCTCTTTCCTGTTATTCACAAGCCTTTTAGTGCTGTCAGCTACCAGTGACAAATGCTTCCCGCTCAGCCTGTGGTGTCACTAATTGGTTGCTCTGGGTCCGGGATGGGAGGGTTGAAATTACGTTGTTCCCTATCGGGTGACACAGTGACCGTGCTGCCTGCACCAGCTATGCTCGCAGTGAGGGTTGTATGGCAGGATGCAGCCTAGTATAACCCAAAACTATGCAAAAGAAAAGTGAAGAGCATTGTGTGAAGCACAGAAACCTAAGGTACATCAGCGAGCATTTTTCTGAACAAAGAAAAGCTTCCCCTGCAAACTGCCCATCATCTTCAGCTCGTGCTGCCAGGTCCAGCCCAGGACAGTTCTCCATTGAGCCCAATTGCAGAAAAGCACATCACATGCATCCAAGTAACAAAATGAGGCTGGGCAAAGTGCTGGCCAGATGATCAGACATACAGATTTTGATTATACATCAGTTGGACAAGAGACTTGAAAGCAACTCTCACTCTTGCAGCTCCCACCGGACTTCAAATCTTTGTAGTGATCAGATGCTGCAGTGAGCACAATATTCTCCAGAGACAAGAGGACAGGCTCCCACCTCTGTGAGCTGTGTAGCCACAGAGGAAAAGATATGATTTACGCCAATCAAAATATTGACTAGAGGGCTCTAGATAAGCCAGAGTTCCCAGTGCAGATGCTGATCCTGTATATTTAAGCTTCCTAAGAAATCTGTGGGCCAGCACAGCTGTTGTGGTTTATTGCCAGGGACACACATACTGAAAACCTGTGCCCAAAACTTAGTCAGGTGAGCACTGACAAGGGCAGAGATCCCTCTTTGGTTACGCAGGTGTCCAGTCAATGTAGTGCATCTTAACTCCTCAGGGTCAAAAAACCATAATGTGAGTAACTCAGCATAGCATAACTGGGAGCCTTTAACTCTGTTCCTTCCAGATGAGGGTCTGGCTCAGTCTCATGCCTAAAAGCAAAATCTGGCATGTATTTATACATTACATTCTTACTTTCCTAGAGAAGCTTTAACCATGTGAGTCATAAATTGTGTCTTTATGATCCTCCACATCTTCACCTTACAGAAAAGTAGGCAAGATATTTTTCCTTCTTCATAGGCTTCATCATCTCAAAAACAGGCACACAGCTTTTGTTCCAACACTATTTGACAATTACCATGTGGAGAGCAGGACAAATTTCAGTCATGAAGCTTCAGCCAGGAGGACAGAGAATGGAAGAGACATCCTGGAAAATGTTTGCAGTTTTCTTGTGGTTGCTGACTCTTCACTACTCACATGAAACTGTCTCACATGCTGAGAGGAAAATATTTAGACCAGAACATGACAGACCAGAGTCTATGCTGCACTTGGCATCACCAAAAGATAGCTAAGGGTCTTTAGGTATTTCCAGTCTATGAAAAAACAAAGTCTTTGAAGGGTTCCTAGAGAGACTCTCTCTGTGCAATTGTTTTGGGGACAACCAGCTAAATTACACAAATATTCTCTGTGGAGCACTTGCTGTATCTGAGCAATCCTAATCCTAACCAGCCCTGTGGCAGGGTGAAGCACACCCCTAAAAGTTTTTACCATTGCATTCTGACCACAGAGGAGGCTGGCCCTGCAGAAGTGTGCAAGCACTGGAGGCTCTGCCTGATTTGTGCTTTCTGAGATCACTTCAATAAAATGCAGATTCATTTGTTATTAGGTAGCCCAGACTGCCCTAAGCAGCCTCTGAAGGCTGGCTGTGAAACAGGGATCTTCAGCCTATTGAGTCCAGTCTGGTTTAGGTCCTCTACAGGGGTAGATCCACCTTGCCCCAAGACCTGGAGCAACTACTCTACAACTTTTCCCTCTCATTTTCTGGGCATCTGTATTTACTCTCAGGAGTTAGAGATTCTCTCTAACTTTTGCTAAAAGCCAGGTTTTTTCCATGCTCGTCCCAAACACACCTTTGCTTTCCAGAGCCTTCAGCCCTAGACACAGAGCATGGAAAACCAGGACCTTCTTCTCTCCTCCCCCTGCCCATTTTGCCCTACAAACCCAGCAGACACAGACATGAAGCAGGACTGTACAACATTAAGCACAGGACAAATATGGAGCAAAAAGAGGGTCTTAAAGTGGAAGAGCTTCATTCTTTTTCTCCAATCTAAGAGCCAAATGTTTTACTTTATCCTCTTCTCCATGACCTTGTCTGTCCCTTGTAGACTCCCTTTGTGCTTCCACTGCTATAATGGGTTGGATTTGGCTCAGTGTCTCCTTAGGGCAGTACAGACATGCCAGCAGTCATGCAGTAGCATACTAGCAGGGAGTTGCTAGGTGTGCAAAAAGAGGTACAGTGTGGCAGAAAGCCTATATTTTCAGAGGTAATAAGGAACTTCTGACTGTCTGTTGGAACAGTGTACAAAAAATGGCTGTTCATTTTGAGACAGCTCGAAATGGCCAAATTTTCAGAAGCTTATACCCATGTACTTTCTGAAAATTATGCTTCTCAAGCTGGGCACCCCCAAATCCTTAGCTGCTTTTAGATACATTGATTATAGTGCTTTTGATTCAAGCTTTTCCCACCAGATACAACATAGGCTTTTTTCCTCCCTTTCAGTCCTGGGGCTGTGCCCCTTCCCACTGCACAGCCACAGTAAATTCTCTGTTTTACAGCTGAGTAACTTTTGTCTTGCCACCACTTCTTGCAGGCTCTGCCTGAGAAGAAGATAAAAGTCATGAAATGAATGACTGCTTGACTTGGAGTCAACAATCTCTGTCCCAACTTCAGACACAAAAGCATCTGGATTTAATAATACCTGTTTATAAATAATGTTGTATCATCATTTGTTTAAAAAAAAAGTAAATCCTAATGTTGATTATTTTTGAACACACCATGAGCTTTCTGACATAATGAAAAGACAGGAAGAGTCCCAGGGCTGGCATTTCCCCAAAAATGTAGATTGTTGTGGGAAAGGAGACAGAGTAAGCTTCCTGCTTTTGTAGAGGGAACTTATTTTTTGAAGTAAGATAAACTTAGAGCACTGCTTTTGTAAAGATTGAGGCTTATTTTACTCACTGATATCACACGCACATCAGCAGGCAGCGCCAAGGTGGAAGTGAGTCCCTGCATGTGTTTGTTAGCAGCACGTTTGACACAGTCTGATCACGGCACAGGGGAGGACACTCGCTGTGCATGGGGAGGTCTTGGCACCAGAAATGGTGAGGTGCAGAGCAGGAGGCTGGGAAGCATCATAGCTTTTCTTCTGCCATAGGATTACTCTCTTGTCTCCAGCATTGCCCTTGGTTGAGCAGCAGTGAGACTCTGTCAGGTCCTGGGTGAAGAGAAATCGGTTGTAGAGATTATCCTTCCACAGCCAGACAGCAAAGTTGCTCCTGCAAACTTGCTTCAGGCATCTCTTCAAGACTGTGAAAGTAGCAGCAGGGATGTAAAGGGATCTACTAGAGACTAGCGGAAAGATGTTCTTTCACTTTGGCAGCTTGATTCAAGTACGTTTCTCTCACAGACACACCAGTGATGAGGGCCAGAGTACAGCAGACAAAGTGTACCCTCAAGGTGGTAACAAGTCAGCAAATCAATGCAACCTGCAGATACATGCCTTTGTGTAGGAGCTAAGCCCAGCTTCAGTACACATAAGTGTGACTTGCACTGAGGATTGTGGGCTAAGAGAGCCATACTAGTTCCAGCCATCCATTGCATACAGTTGAATCATATTTGTTTGTGATGCCAGTAAAAGACAAAAATTAGCCTGGGAGGTGGGACTAGAAACAGGCTGTCATGAGGTTTTTCTCTGCATCAGCCTGTGAGCAGTCAGAGGATTCCCTCTGACAGTGGAAATTGCTGAGTAATCCAGAAAAGAGCTTCAGCAAGTGATGCTGTAGCTCAAATCTGGTACTGGTATGATCAAAGCCCCTTGCAAGAGCAAGCCTGACTTTATCATAGGACATGACTGTAAGGAGTACATAGGGCTCTCAGCTCCTAGTAAGAATTGCTCTCTTGTTACTCCATGGTCCAAGATGCATTGTCATTGCAGGTGAACCAAAGTAACAGCAAAGCTCTGGGATCTGGTCTGGGATACCTAGAACACATCTGCCAACTGATTGAGAAGATTGGGCAGCTTCAGGAGCACAACCTGCATCTCCAAAAACAAGTGTGCAGCTTGCAGAAAGAGCAGAAGATGAGTCAGATAAAAGAGGTAAGCAGACACCATAGTATCTTCCATTGAGTAATACATCTTAAATAATAAATTCAAGGCCCAAACAGAAAGTTTTGTGTGCGGGAAGATGACAATTTACCACATCCAACACCCGCCTGGGCTGGGTAGGGAGGCCTTACCCACCACAATGGGTTCAGTTTCCTGAGGCTGGGCTTGAGTTTCTGTTCTTATTCAGTTTTGTTTCCCAAACGTGCTTGCTTCTTTTGAGTTAAAAAGCACCCTTCTCACCTCATGCAATGGCCTGCTCTAAGTCACTAACTTCTTCGCTACAGCTGTAAACTTCCCAAGAACACATCTCCTCTCCTCAATGCTGTCAAAACAAAATCCACAGAGCTCCATAGTAATTGTGTTTTGAATTATAAGATCTTTCATTTCCTTCTGGTTTCAAACTGTCAAAATCCCAGAATTTTTCACAAAACAGACACAAGGGGAAAGAGAAGCAGCGATACCATGACCCAGCTCCATGCTTTCTTTCACTTCCTGTGCTCCTGAGCTGCCAGATGAACAATCTCTGACATGAAACCATTTCAGTGTTCCCATTTGTCATTTTTTTCAGCCAGAGCTAGATCGAAAATTTCACTGAAATTTGCAAATAATTTCAGGGTCTTCCTAGCATTTCCATCAGCATTTTTTAGCCCCAGCATATTTCATTGAGCTATACCCCAACTCTTCTTCAGTCATCATGCCAGATTTTCCATCTTTTTCCCTCCCCTGCCTTTTTGTTTATTTTAACACTCCCTAAAGGAACATAAAGGGTTTATCACACTCAGCTATTTCTTCCCACCTGTGCTGTGGTGAGTCTTTTATTCTCCTGATAGCATCATTGTTCCCCTGGTGCAGCTCTCCCACCTGCTGGGACTGGATCTGTAGTAGGTGACTGACTCCTCCTCAGAGCCAAAGCCAAGTCCTGAGTCAGGTTGCAGAGCAGAGTAGCTTGCCATTTCCATGTACCCATCTCTCACACTCAGAGGAATGCAGCCTCATACATAGAGCCTGGGAATCGTTAACACATTTCCTGAAGCTTTACAACTGTGAGTCATTGCTCAAAGTAACTCTTCCAAGCTGCAAAATCATCTGGTGTACATGCCCCCTCCGCAGCTCCCACTGAAATAAAAGGCACTGTGCTTTCATTTAAATATTTGAAACTTTGATCTTTTTGGTACTTCTGAAGGTCTCTCAGCAGTGTCTTCTCAGATGCATTTGTCTCATACTGTTCAGTGGGGAGTTGGATCCTCAGATGTAACATTCAGTGCTTGCTGCGTGGTCTAAAAAATTGAACACTCTCGGGTATCCTGTGGTGCCTGGATCTCCTATATTTGAGCAGCTCTCCATCATTTTGTTCCTCAGTCATAGCCTCTGAATAGAAGAGGAGCACTGCTACCTCTATTTGCCATGAAACATGAAGATTGCTATCCACAATTTGGAGGGCATCCAAAGACTCCTTTACAAACCACGTTCACTCTCCATGTAGACTATGAGCATGAAAGGTTTCCATGTCCCAGACATGGCTAGGGAAGACACAACCCCCAAAACATCCCCATGGTATTAAGAGCTGGTCACAAGGATTGCAGATAACCAGTGCTCGCAATGCTGTTCTTGAGAGGTGCACAGACATCACCACTGAAATGATGGCTTTGATCCTGGGACACAAAGGGAACACTGCTGCTCCACATCCTTTCTTTACAGGGAAACCTGTAATACCATGGGCCAAAACCAGCATCTTTCATCAGATTTGCTAAGCATGTCCCAAAGGTATTGATGATGCAAAGTGCCACACTGCTGGGACAACATATTTAGATGAGAAGTGACATTGAAACTGTCGGTTGTTTGGGGGCTCCAGAGGTGCTAAACTGGTGTTGGCCTGTCCTGGTTCCAACACTAGAAAACTTTTGGTTCCCTTTCTGCTTCAGCTGGATAAAGCTCTCCTTCCTTCCTATCCTCCTAAACTCTTCCGCAACATGGTTGTGCAAGGTAGAAGATCTCCCCTTCCTCACCCCACCAGCAACAGCAGAAGTACACTGACTGAAATACCACATACAGTCCATCTGGCTGGTAACACACAAGAAAACTGTGGCATCCCATCAATAAACATACAAGATATTGTTGTCTGTGCATGCTCCAAAACAAATAACATCTTAAAATATGAGTCATTGTTATAACTGATCTGTTTATTTACACTAATGCCTTAGCTGAGCAGCTCTCTGTTTAGAAACTTGTATTCAATTCCTTCTGGGAAACAAACTGAAAAGACACTGAGTATCAGGCAATTTAAATTAATGCTAATGAAACCATGAAAGCTGTGTATTACTAACTACAGGCTGTTCAGCATTTTAGAGAACAAAATAATTTGTCTGGGTTCTGGTGGGTCCTAGGACAAGGATGGACATCCCTGGGCTGGAATGTTTACAATTTCTCTGTAGTGTCGCACCACCCATTACCTTGGGTTGATGCAGCCTGAGAGCCTGCTACTTTCTTTTTGTCTGGTACAGGAATACATTCTGCAGCATTGCTCCTGTGGAGCTGCCAGTATCTTCCTTAACTCATATCAAGACACGAAAACAAATTTTGCTGGGAGGAGCAGACCTCACAGCCTCTTGGTTCAGACTGGAAACCTTTCTGATCTTTCCATCATCCCAGAAATAGGAGCGAACACCGAGAAGCTGAGCAGCTGCAATGGTGAGTTCAAATACCTCTAACGTGCCCTCCTGTTTGCCACCACTTGGTCAAACAAGCTGACCAGCCACTTTCTTTTCCCAAGGAAAGACAGTTGGGAACAGAGGAAGGTTTTAGTAGAACTAAACCCTAGCTGAAATCCAAGAGAAGCAATTTAAAATGCTCTGTCTGTACTTAGGATTTTAACACTAGCTGCTTCATGTGTGTGAATCAGGGGTTTTTGCTTTATAGCTGTGGCTTTAAAGATTCGGACAAGTGAATTACAAAATAGGTCTTTTGGAAATTTAGCACGCCTGAATGGGACCATTAGTGGAGCTCCCTCCACCCAGGAAAGGTAGGATTTGATCTAAGATGGAAAACCTTATGCCTGTTGTTAGTCTTCTACCCTCTCAAGTAGGCACAGAATCCATTCCTGGAGGGTGACATTCTACAGATCAAGTGGAAATAAGCCCCAGCTGCAAAGCTTGGATCCAGAGACCAACTTTTCCACAAGGCTGAGAAACATTTGGCTCAGCCTACTGATGATAAAACCAGATGAAAAGTCTGTTAGATGTGAACCAGCTCACTAAATAAGCCTGATCAGTTTATTTCAAACCTTGGGTTTCAGCTTGTTTCTAATACCTGGTGAAACACAGAACAACTTCGTTCAGGATTAAGTCAGAGCCTTTGGGATCACATGGGGTCTTATCCCATGTTTAAGTCCTTAGGGTTCTCATCCCATCTGAAGTCATAACTTGCTGCCAGCACTGCCCAGAGGCCATCCTAGCAGGACACTGCTAAGAAATAAATCCTTGCATTTCATTGCAGGAAGTGAGAGATATCTGCAATCAGGAAAGAGCCAGCCGATGGTGGGGCTCAGGAAGCCATCAAACAATAGGAACAACAAGGAGAATGAGTTCAGAGAAGTTGGGAGTATGGCTGAGGGACAGGCTTTTCTGTCAAAGGACCCTGCAGTAAGAAAGGTGAGTGATTAGCTTGGAATCTGACTCTGAGTGGGACCCATGGGAGAAGCAGAGAGAAGTTCTGCTCAGGCAGATCAGAGTGAGGTGCCAGGAGAGGAAACCAACCTTGTCACCTACTGAGTGGAACTGGGCCCAGCAAGGGTCAGGGGCAGTCTGTGTCTCTCTGCTCCCAACCTTAAATGAAGAAGGACTATATCTTTATGCCAAGAAAGGATCTTTATCTATAAAGATCCTATCTATTTTTATCTATATCTTTATACCAAGATGGATCACTGGTGCAGGGGAGAGGAGCACTGCAGACAGCAGCATGAGGTTTAGTCCTCACCAACTCCAAATAACTTTCTGTGTGGACTCAGTCATAAGTATCTCCACTACTGATGCTAGTGAGTTTAATCAAGTATTCATTGCCACTAATTAAAATTTTAGTGGATCAATCCTTAGCTGGCCACACTTATTACCAGATTGGCAGCATATCAATGTAATTAGCTCCAGTCCTCAAAAGCATGTTCCAGGGAATATGTTACAGCAAATCTGTGTTACTGAAGTCCAAGGAAGTGAGGATGAATGTTTTCTTCTCCCTTTCTTTCCCATTGTTTGTGTCTGCCTCAGCACTTTCATGTTCCGGTGGGGTTAAGAAGTGCTGAAATGCCAGAGCAGAGACTCTAATCAGAGTATTCCCAGCCCTGCAAACAGGAAAGAGGAAGGAGTAGTTCTCTCACGGGAAAGAACTCATGAAATTTCCACCCTTAAGTTGCAGATAGGTCACAAACACTTCAATGAACTTCAGAGCCCAAATTAAGGCTCAGGCCTGAAAGGTGCTCTATGCTCTGCCTTGTGTCCAGCTAGCTTCCGGAGGATTTTAAGCATGTGGGAAGTTCTGATGACTTCACAGGACCACAGAGCAAAGAACCATGCTCTTTAAACTGAATCCTCATCCTCACTTGTTAAACCACAACTTAGTATTGTCACTTTGTATTGCATTTTGTATCCTGAACATGAAAGGCCCCATTTATTCCTACAGTGCAGGTACTGTATGGGAATTCTGTACTGTATGGGAATTCTATCTGTTACGCTTATCCCAGGCTACTAGGTACTGTACACATTAACTGGCAGTTTAAATACAAAAGAGAGCTGAGAGGTGGAAGGAGAAAGAAGGGATTATCACACATGTGAGGGATTGAGTCTAAAAAGAAATAAAGAACTCGACCTAGGCTATGAGTACGTTCCAGTGCAGAGCTGAGAACAGAGCCTAGTCTGTTGCAAACGCTGGAAGATGGTCTCGCTGTCTTGTTATTTATCAGTGTATTTCCCTTTTGTTCTTAGGCTCTGGACGTCAGCAAGAACATCTCGGTACGTACTGCCTTTGCAGAATATATTTAACTTGTATCTACATTATCAGTGAGTAAGCCCGTGTAGTGCACACCATTGTATGAACAAAAGAGGTTTACTCACCCCCGAAGTTTACTCTCATGGACGACAGGAGCATCAGCTGCTCAGGCTTTCTGCGGTATCAGCAGTGCTTGCTTGTCTGCTACATCACCAGCACAACGAGGGACTAACTGCTGAGGCCTCAAAACCCTTCCACAGCACACATTAATCCTAGCAGTAAACACAGAGGTTTGCTATTTCCTTGAGTAAACAGTCTTGCTTACGTGCAATTAACTCAATAGCACTGAATCAGGTGTTGCAGTTCTCAGCTGAGCCATGGCCTCATCTGAAGTTTTGAACTGAAAACTTTGCAGATTCCCAAGAACTATTGCAATAGGCATTGCTGGGGCTGGTAAGTGTGGCTGGGCAGCTGCCAGGTTGTGCTCTTAAGGTGGCCACAACTCCTGTAGTAATGGCTCTGCTGGTGGCATAGCAGCACCAGCACACAGTGAGGAGGAACCTCGGGACAGGGCAGAACAATGTCAGGAACGTGACATTGATTTGAGAAATTCACTGAAATGGGAATAATTTCCCTCCGTTATGCTAGTTCTGGGATATGATAATTTTGTTTTGTTCCCCAGATTTTTCAGTCATCACTTTAGGAAATTTAAAACAATATTGGAAAAAAAAAATTAATTTTTGGATTCATAGCTCCATTTAGTTCACGGGTCCAGATAAACCCAGCCTGGAGAGACCAAAGATTAGAGATGGCCTCCTGAGACTCTCTGACCTCCTGATAATCTCTATTAGCATTTCAAATGTAAGGCCAATAGCTGTGGCTTGCTGAGTGACAGGGAAACAAAGGCTTGATCTCTTCTAATTCATGTTCCACAAAAGCTACAACTTAAAAAGGCTGATACCAATGCACCTGGCCTAATAGAAAGGATAAGAGAGTAAAACTGCTTTTTTGGGTTTCGTTGTAAAGGCCCCCTGCACGCATGTGAGTAGGTAGGAAACCAAACCAATCTTCTCCTTTAGCACAGCATAACAACAGGGTAAAACGTGCCCTTAGGCAGCTACTCAGCATTCACCAGTGATGGCACCTCACTCTCTGAAATCCTAAATCAGAAAGAACAGCAGAGTCCTAGGCAGAGAAATGTTGCCAAATAAAATATGAAAAAGATGGCATTACTCAGAGTTCATTGATCCTGTCTCCTTGTCCTATACAGGTGGAGGCTGGCCACTGGGTATCATTACAGTGTTAAAAATTGTTTTGTGGGCCCTGCACCCTATCTGTCTGAAATAAAGAAACTTCCCTCTTCCCACGACCCTGGAGTACCCCAAAGAATCACGTGTTGACCAGATGAAGTCTGCTAGCGACTTGCCTCTGGTCTTTTAAGTTGAGGTTTCTTTTTGCTCCCTAGGGTGAGAGCCATGCTTGGAGGAGAATGAGAGATCTTATGAGGAAGACACGGTTGACAAACCAGAACAAGCTGGGGCTGTCCTCTGCTGCTCTGAAGAGGTCCTGCCCACAGCTGTATAGGTGAGCGAATGCTGTGGGAGATTTTCACTTAGTGTTGGGAGGAGGTGGTAGAAGCTTTACCTCTGGTTGTTGCTGCAGAGAAGACCATTCCTTACCTTATTTCCATTGCATATGCTGGTCCTGGCTAGCAGTAGTGTTTGCTTTCTTAGTGCTCAGATGCTCCAGGATCCCAGCTGGATGTTACCTGTGTGAGAATCATGGAAACATTAGGGTCCCTAAAATAGGGCGCTTCTCCCCAGCAGGCCAAGGGGATGATGACAATTAGCCAGAGCCATTCTATAGCCTAGTTATTTGTCTTTCTTCTCCCTCCTAAGCATTGCAGTCAGCATTAATGTTCTCTTTTGTCAGCTTTCCCACCTTTCATCCAGTGGAACAGACCTTATTGTATGTGCTGTGTGTTGGGATGGGACAGTCAGGATCAGCTGGATGGTTTTGTCAGAGGAAGAAGAGATGAAGTTTGCTGAATGTATGCTTATGGGTGGGACCTGTTTGTTGCTGTAGATGAATATTTGGGTCAAGTATGAGGTCTTATTTCTATTAAGGGATCCATGCTGCTCCCTTGGGCAAGTCTGTCTACCAGGCTGGTTGTAGCTTGGCCTCTTAAACTGTGCTGTACTCATCCAACTGACAGTTCTGCCAGCTATCCCTTGCACAGATATTCCCTGTGCACTTGCCAAGTCCTCCCAGCTAGTCTGGTGAATTTGGAGTGTTTGTGTATGTAATCAGGTAACAGGAAGAGCCTGGGTATCTTAGTCACCAAAGCTGGAGCATTATGTGGAGCTGTGCACCTCCCTGTATGTTTTTTCAGCTGGGGTCTCAGTAACCTTCAGCGGAACAGCTCAAATGTGTCTAAGTCCCCCTCCAGTTTCAGAGGGGGTGATGGTGGGGAAACAGCAGTTGGTTAAGCACTCAGGAATGTCCTATTGTTCCCCTTAAGACAGCCTGTACCTACCTTACAAAATGCATAAGGGAACTGGAAATCTTATAATTACAGCTGGAAAAAAAAATCCTCTGTAATACATGGAGTGATTTTTCCAGCTGGGAAAAGGTTGGTTGGGGCCCAAGCACACGTAACAGGAGAGCTTCCTCCTATTGTTTGGGAAACTGAAAGAAACACAAAGCAGAGAGAGATCAAACAGTTCCATCTAAAATAGATGGTGAACCAGCTGGGGAAAAAATACAAACTCCTGTGAACCTTCCCTCTAAACCTGAATAGAACCAGCAATTTTATTGGGTTCCAGAAAAGTTTTGTCTCTATAACTCTTTGCTTGCCCCATCTCGACAGCACAGAGGATGGCACCAGCAGTCCCTGCATAAGAATTGAAGGCTAGGTCATCAGCTGCCTAAATTCATGTATTTCCACTGAAGGGTCGGCCCTTATTAGGGCTCCTAGCAGAAATTCTAGCTCCCTAGAAATTAGTGTCCTAGAATGGACAACTACGGCTGTCATGGAAAAACTGTACAATGAGATGCCAAGTGGACAGTTTTTTGCCTGGCTGTATCCAGGCATCTTCAGAGCTCTTGTACACTGATTTTTGCAGGCTGTTTCCAGTAGCTGATGAATGGCCTTTTCTTCTACTTTCTTCTCCCGTATATCTATATAAAACCCATCCCTCTACTCATGCCCCTTATCTCCCTCTATTTCCTTTTCTTCTTCATTTTAGCTCTTATTCCCCAGCCCTACCTGTATTTGATCTTGCTCTTTTTACCCCAAACCCAGCAATACAAACCCTGTCTTTTTCACTGATGTGTGAAAAAGGTGGCCACCATGTTCATGTGGCAGTTTGGATATGCAGTTGCCCTCAGGCTCCTATGAAGTAAAAAGTTAGGCTCAGTGGCTCAATGACAGACCAGCAAATGCTGCTGGAAAGTGAGACCCTTCCTGTGGCAGTACCAGAATGGTAAAGCAATAAAGTCTCACTCACCTGCAAATCTTGGCAAAGCAAACCTTGAAGCCCTGATACTCTCAGCATTTAAAGCCACTGTCTTTGTTATAATTTATGAAACATGTTTGTCCTGGCTGCTGGTCCTGTTTGTACATGCAGACATATGTAGTTGGCCAGCTTTTGCTTACCTGGGCTTTTTTGGGCTCCAGGTCTTGCACTGGAACAGGCTGGAGCCTGGTGCCTTGTATTAACATAAGTTCTGAAGGAGTCAGAGATTTGTTGCTTTTGACACCCAGTCCCACTTGAGTCATTTGGGCAATTAGAGAAAGTCTCTTTGTTTTTATAACTAGGTCGAAACAAATCCCCTTTCATGCTCCTACTCTGTGTATGATGAATGATCTGCTGCAGGGTGGTTGTTTTGTTTTTCTTTTCTGTCTCTCTTTTTTTTTTTTTTTTTTTTTTCAAACATCCACAGAAGAATTCTCATAGCAGAGAGAGCTTAGTTTCTTTTAGCAGGAGAGAGGGGAGGCCTGCCAAAACAAACATACTGGCACAAGACTCAGTGGTTTGTCATACATTGTTTCAAATAGGCACAGGTTTTCATTTCATTTTCTTTTTCTTGCTAATACATTTGCTCCTGCAAAGCAACATCTATTCTGTGCAAAGGACGAGAACAGACTGATGACTGACTTCATTATGGTTTTGTGAACTTAAGCAGCACATGGTCCTCCACTTTCCATGGCAGGATCTAATGTAGGCAATCCCCTCCTGACATTCCAGTGCAGATACACCCACCTGGGTATCTATGGGAGCTGTAGCTTTAATGCAGATGCATGGGCACGAGCTAACCCCAAATACAGTATTTTTCATGGTAAAGATGATGGTTTCAGTTTGAAGCCACCAAAAGCTTGCTGCCATATGATGCTTACTTTGTGGTTAGTGTGAAGTAAGCTAGCAAGGACAGTGCAGTTCTAACATTACAAAACCCCATCTTCAATATTGTGTAGTAAAGGTTGAAAAGGGCACAAGAACCTCAGACTCAGATCTGAGTGATGCTCTTCACGTGGAAGATTAATACTAAGGTATTCTCAGTCCTGTGCTCCGGGTTGAGAAACCACCAAAGAATTAAGAACATCAAGGCAGAAGATTGACTGGTCCGTTGTAAAAGAGCTGAGAGCAGAACAGAACATAAAAATGTATAATATTTTTAAAAAACACAATATAGTAGTTCACAAAATAAAGATTCTGCATGACACTAGTCAGGACTTTGAGTTGAAAATTTTTAAAATTGAATATTTGAAGTAAATAGCTATTAGCTATTCATTTTCTGTAAATAACTTTTGAGTATTGCTTTAAAAAATCCCAAAAACGACAGCTTTTTTTTTTTTTTAAACGGAACCTATTTTAAAGATGTGTCTAGAAAGTTTCAAAAGGTTTGTCTGTCATAAGTCCTGGAGGCCTGAGCTAAGTAATTTCAACCAAACAGGATGTATTATACTTGTTTCAATCATATATAATAACATTCAAAAAATGAAGATGGAGACAGTCTACAGGACCTAGCACAGTATTGTTCTTCAAAACACTTCATTTCCTTACTATTTTAGGCCAGAAATTTTAACTTCTGTGTGATGTTCAGCCACAAGTCTATCCCCCGTCTTCCAGCTAGGCAGAAAATACTGGTTGCTCCAAACAAAATTATATTTGTGTCCGTCCATTACAATGTGGCTCCCTGCCAAACGCTGCATCTTGTACTCTTTTTTTGAATGCTGCCACAAAAGTCTGGACAGCATCTGTTAGGGAATTTCACACTGAAGAGGGGGAAGCTGCATTGGGTATAGCTTAAATACATATGCATAGCATATTAATGTTAATAACACAGCCGTGCATTCTGGCCACTGTCAACTTCACTTGTATTTTTCCATTTGTTAAGGCCAGATATTATGTCTTCAGAGCTGAGGAAAACTGACAGGAACTCCATGATTGTTCTGGGACAAAATACAAAGAACGAAAACTTATGGCCTTTCTGATAACCTGAGTCAAATGGAGCAAGGTAAAGTAAGTAAAGCAGCATGCCTTTCTTTGTGGGTTGGGGTTTTTCACCTCTTCTTGGCACGAAAATGAGGCAGTCCTGTTCCTTCATCCAGACTCACTCCAGCTTGCAAAGACAGAAATAAGTCCAATTTTTGAAATTAAGTTCAAATGATGTGGATTGATGTCTACAGAGAACTAGCCCATATATCTTCATTTTAATAGTCCCCCAGCTTTTGGCTTGTTGTATTTTTTTTAACCCACAATTTAAAGGCAACTATAGTCATACAAGCTATATCACACAGCCTTTTTGCAAAACATAAAAGGCACTAAATTAATTTATCTGCAGTCAGTCAAAAGACTTCCAAATAATCAGACAATGAAATATCTTGGGAAAGAGAAAATCTGTCCCTAATAAAGACTAAAAGAAAACCAGCCTCAGCTTCATCTTCCACCTTCCCAACTCAGCCCACAGGCTAAATATAGAGAAACTCTCTCTAATCTCACATTCACTGCATGTTTCTGTTTCAGAAAGTCAAGGCAAGAACACCAAAGAACACAAAATCAAGAATCCCAGGGTTACTCTGTGCAATCTACATCCCACAATTGTCAACAGAGCAACTCTGAATTAAGTGTTGGAAGGGAAAGAGGGAAGGGGGATGTTGAGAAGGGTCTGTGGGCAGATACATGCTCAACTACGTATGGCTTCGCTCCCGAATCTGAAGCGTACTTTAAAAAGTCAAGCCACAGATGAAAATTGCTGTTAGCATCTTGGCAACACAAGCAACAGGGACTTTTAAGATTTGGAAATTCTTCCTCTTCTCTGGGTTGGGAACAGAATTACCTGAAACACCAAAGCTTTTAAACTATCATTACTTTCTGGGGACTTCTCCAGCTGAAATAAACATTAGCTTTTTGGGACATAGCATCATCTGGAGGAGTGCCAGAGACTCATTGCCCAGGGCAGAGGCGGCCGTTGAAAGGACAGCCTCCTCCCTCTGGGAACCTGAGTTTCAGTCTCTGTCCCCAGCACAGTTCCTCCCTTCAGAGCAACCTATAGCCAACTGTGCCATTTCACTGGAATCCAACAGGAAAACAAAGTATGTAAAACTAAGGTCATTCCTGAATCCACTACTAGCTTCCTGTCCTGTGGGCCTGCTCCTTCTGCAGAGGTCCCTGGACTCTAGTGCTACCCTGCACAGAAGTTGGCATTGTACACACTCATTGTAAAGACCAGAGTAAGCAGCACTGCAGGAATCAGCCTTTCAAGAGACTGGAAGGACATCCAGGGCAGCCTCTGCCCCAGCCATTGTGTAATCAATCTTTTTCTCTTTTTTTTTGATGGGGGACAAGACACCAGGCTTGAATTCCTGCTCTTAAGTCCCATTGAACTGCTCTGTTGTGTTGTATGGCTCCACCTGCGCTCTCTCTACTAGCAAAACTTGAGCAGAGCAAGGCTACAAGGGAAAGAAATTCAAATACATCCTTTATAAACTGGTGCTCTTTTGGGATACACTAACAACTGTGAAACACCATGACTGTGTGTGGCGGCTGCCTTATTGCCACATGTCCACTGCTTCCTACTCAAGGACCAGGCAGTGCATGCTTCTGAACGTCCCATGGTTGCAGAGGTCTCTGCACACTTAGCTCTTATTGGTACTAGCAAAATAATTCATACACATGGGGTAAAGATTTAAGTAAACTAACATTGCCTCTTGATAAAGGATTGTTCTACCCCATAAATTAAAATATAATTACAAGTCAAGCAATTGCTGATTAAAAATCCCTCCCCAACCCCAACTTGCCTGAGAACCAAGATTTGACAAGCTGGCAGGAATGATCAGCTTCAGCAGGCTTAGTCTTTCCATAATAGATGCTTCTCCCTTGCTCATCCACATCAGCTGGAACCATTGAAGTCGTCCAAAATAGAACAGGATCTTTTCTGAGAGTCAGAGCATCTCAGCCATGCCGTTCCTGGGCTAGTATAGTTTGCAGGGATGAGTGAGGGCAGGGTTCAAGTACTCAGAAGGATTGCTACCATTGTTACTTAGCATCTCAATAAAACCCCACAAACACAATGACCAAACCCCACAACCCAAACCCAAATCCCCATTAAAAAGAAAAAAAAGGTTGTGCTGACTCAAGGTTAGCACCCTAAAGTAGGTGCTGTGTTTAATGTTTCAGCTGTAGCTGCTGCTGCAGGACTTGGTTATTCACTGTATATCTTGCTAGCTTCATCCAAAGCTAGACAGATTTATGACTTTATTATTCTGTGAATATTCTGTATATATCTCCATAAATATAGGGGACAAAAATCCTGCATTAACTTACATCCTCCATTATCCCTCCAGCTTTTTTTACAGTGACTGTACAGAATGTGAATCAGTGCAAACTGAATTTAAAGTGTTTTAAGACATAGCGTTGTGAATTGGTATTTTCTACAACCCTCTCTATTCACGGTATAAGTTTGTTGGGTGTTTTGTGGTATTTTTTTAAACTAAAATAAACTAGCACTCTTCTTTATTATAGCATTTTGTTAAATATGCTCATGTATTTTTCAGAAATAAATGTATTTATAATGTGTAATATACTGTATAGTTCTCTACTCCAGGATCCATTGTAATCCGAGCATAAGAAATTTAATAAAAGTATCACTATTATGGTAATTGTTTTCAGATATTTTATTAATGAACACCTGGCTTGTAGAATAGCAACTGCCACACCTTTAGGGTATCAGGTGAGCATAGCTAGTCAAGAAAGGAATTGTTACCTCCAAGCTTTTAAAGATCTTCTTTAGCTTTGGCAAAGAAGCAAGTTTGCTCTTTGGAAGCAGGTGCTGTTCTCAAAGATCTAGAGGGTGAGGAGAACTTTTTGAAAGTTCAGGTATTACAAAACACGTGTTAATTTTGAGCAGCCTTGTGTTAGGTGCTGCTGCTGGACTTTGCTTCCACAGACAGGCAGCACATGCAGCATTTCCAAGAAGAATCAATGAAGGCACTGGGACAAAGTGTGCTGCTGCTCAGCACAGGGGTTTCTTTCTGAAAACCTGGATTCAGTAGCAGCACTACACAACAGCGTCAAATGACAGATCCTAGCTGGCCTCTGAGCTGCTCTTCCTCAGCCTTGATTCCCAGCCAGCAGCACCCTGCTGGACAGAGCAGCTTCCTTTCCCCTGCAGGTATCTAAGGCACTGTGTACAGCACTCCCAACACCTTGACCTGGACTGCATAACCAGGTGATACAGAGTGAAGCTAAAGAGAGCGCTGGCATAAGAAGTCACACACAGGCATTCAAAAGAAAGTAATGGTGAAAAGTCAATGAGACTTAACTAAAGACAGGCCTAGAAAACAACTTAGACAGAAGTGCCTCTGTGAAGGTGGAAGGGAAATAATACACTTTCTGCAGAAGCAAATATTGCATTACAGGAGCCATGAGAACCTCTAACACCCCAGTGGTATTGGAGAACAGGCAGTGCACACAGGGCTAGGGCAACAGAGGAGGAAATCTCCAGGATGCCTTTCACCCTGTACCAGTGCTTCAGAAAAACAACTCCCATCTCACTGCTGCTTACAGCCTTCCTGCCTACAGCTGAGGACCAAGTAGCAAGCCTTAAACACAGAAGACGCTCCAGAGTGGATAAGGAAAATAAGTTTATTCCTTTGCTCACCCACCTCCACTTAGCACTGCAAGTACTCTACAATAAGCATCATACCAGTGTCCTACACACAGCCCTGCACCAAAAGACACAGACCCTGCAGGGACACTATGCAATTCCCACAGGGTACACACCCAGAGTTCCCTGCCACTTAAAAGGGATCTGTCAAGGTAAAGCCATCAAGATCAATTCTTGGTAGTTTAGGAAATCATTGTACCTAGTCTCCCTGAACTTGCAGGAGCTCATATAGCCAGAATATGGCTGGGAGACACAATACACATATTCACCTACTGACCCTGCAGAGAGGCTCAAGTCCTCAGCAAGTCAGTGGCTCCTATGTCCAAACATCTGTCCATGGAGTTTCTGCACAGTCTTAGTCTGGAGGCCTTTCTAGCCTTGCTAGACTGATATTTTATACTCTCCTCTCTTGTGAGGGCAGACACCACTAGGGAGAGAGACTGAGGCTATTGCTGTGCAATTGCGAGGAAAACACAGTTGCTTGTCTACTGGCAAAGCACATGCAGTGTGAACTTTACTGATTACCTCTGAAGATTTCAGGAACAATGAAGGATGGCTCACACCACTGAGGGCTTCCACAATCAATAGTGAAGAACAGAAAACCCAAATGTCACTGAAGTACTTGGAAGATGCTCTTGTGACAGTGAATATCTGTGAGTGCTTCAGTAGGACAGTGTGGCCCTGTTAATTTTTTTAACAATTAACACTAGGTAAAACAAAATAAGTTTTGTGAGCACATTACAGATTTCCTAATCTCTATTCACATCTGCAGATGTTTGAGATAAGATATGTCTTCAATGAATAATTAATACCAATAGAATCTTAGTTTCATAACACAGGGCAATCTAACAAATGATTGACTAGTAAACATTGACTGACTCAGCCATGTGACCCAAAACCTGCTCTTGAGCAAACACAAATCTTTGGGATATAAACTCAGATTCTGACAGCCAGA